ATCAATGGAATGTGTGTGTGTGTGTGTGTGTGTGTGTGTGTGTGTGTGTGTGTGAGAGAGAGAGAGAGAGAGAGAGAGAGAGAGAGAGCCTATAAGTCTCCATCCAGCCCCACGGCTAGCTGCACGCTACTTGGATCGATAGAACGAGCAAATCAAAAAGTGGCAGTGTATATTTCCCCGTTTCAGCAGAAGATTCATTCCGATTTTGCTCATCCTATCAATGGAATGTGTGCGTGTGTGTGTGTGTGTGTGTGTGTGTGTGTGAGAGAGAGAGAGAGAGAGGGAGAGAGAGAGAGAGAGGCGGTGAGTCGGCGTAATCGGGAGGAAACGTCTGAATCCTCATTGTGACAATAGTTGCGTCGTGGCAGGTCATCGATCGGGGACCTGCAGTCCTCATGGTGGATCAAGGTATGTGAGTCAACACCCTCTGGATGTCACATTTGCCTGGGGACCTGCAGTCCTCATGGTGGATCAAGGTATGTGAGTCAACACCCTCTGGATGTCACATTTGCCTCTTTGCCCGCGGCGGTCCACTTGTTTGAGATAAAAATCACAAACGAAAAAGAAAAGGAAAAAAAAAAAGCAGTTTTGTATGCACGTACCAAAAAGAAAAAAGCTTGCGTAGTAGGGGGGACGTAAAAAAAAACAGTTTCGTATGCACGTACAAGAAAAAAAAAAAAAGCTTGCGTAGTAGGGGGGGCGTACTCCACGTGTCTGCATACATCACGTACAAACGCATGCCCATAGCGAGACAATCTTGAAAGGAAAAAAAAGAAAAAAAACACCTTGAAACAGTACCTTCCAGCCTGTCTGATAGTCGCTTTACCTCTGGAGGTGGTGGGATGTTGCAGGACACTATTGGGTTGGCAACTTGGCACCCACCAACCTCCCATGGGACTTGACTCAACTCGCATCCTCCTCGACCGACCAAGGCAATAGACAAAGACCTGGGACACCTTTGCCTCAGACCTGTTCCAATAGTCCTCCGGGACATCTGTTAGCTGTTAGAATCGGAACAATACAGAGAAGATTGCCATGGCCCCTGCACAAGGATGGCATGCATAACTCGAGAAAAACTCCAACAAAAGAAACCAGCACAAAAAAAAAAAAAAAAAAAAAAAAAAAAAAAAAAAAAAAAAAAAAATCAAAAGAAAAGAAAAGAAAAAAGAAAAAAACAGCATATGTTTGCATTCCCCTAGGTAGGAGAAGACATGATCGAACCAACAACACTCGCAATGCATCGGGCATGGAAGCAAATGAGAAGACATGATCGAACCTCCAAGATACAAATGAGAAGACATGATCGAACCTCCAAGATACAATAGAACCACCACAAAAAAAAAAAGGTTGCCAAATGTACATTTCACATAATTGCAGTGCTGATGTTACTGCCCTTGATCGCACCTCACAGATAGCATGTTTTTCATACTTGCAAGCGCACGTTGTGCGGGAGGTTCCCGACGTGCGGCGCACGCGCCCAACCGATCCCGTGCGGCGCACGACGTGTGCGGAGAACGACCCGTCACCCCCCTCAGAAAGAAAAAAAAGGCCCGGGTCGAAACGGTGCGTTTGAGGCTCCCCGCCAAAATTATAAGCGAGATGAAAAAAAAAATTACAGGAGTACTGCCTCACCTTGCTCTTCCTCCCCTTCCTCGTCCTCCATGTCTCCTCCTCCCTTCTCCTTTTCTCCTCCTCCTCCTCCTCCTCCTCCTCCTCCTCCTGTTCGTCCTCCTCCTCCTGCCCTTCCTCATCCTCCTTGTATCCTCCTCCTCCTCGTACTTCCTCATCTTCCATGCCTCCTCGTCTCCTTCCCTTCCTCGTGTCCTCCCTTTCCTTGTGTCCTCCCCCTTCCTCGCCGTCCACGTCTCCTCTTCCCACTCGTGCTCCTCCTCCTGCCCTTCCTCTTTTCCCTCCGTCCATCTCTTCTCCTCCCCCATCTCGACTCCTCCTCGTTGTCCTCGCTATCCTCGTCGTCCTCCTCGTCCACCTCCTCCTCCTCTCCATATCCCCCTCTCCTCGCCCTATCCCCATCTTCCTGTCATATGCCCCCTGTTCCCCCTCCCAAAACAAGATAAAATAATAATATTAAAAATAAAAAACCTCCACGATTCCGCACAGGCACCCCCCCCACGGAACTCCGCACGGAACTCCGCACGAATGTGCGGCTCGTGCGGTTGCAAGTATGATGTTTTTGCATTGATCCTAAACAGGCTATCTATCTGTGAGTTGGACTGGAGCAGTAACATGACCTCGCCTCGACGCGATGGAAGAAGGCTATGGAAGCACAATGGAAGGCAGAGGGTTACCCCTACATCACTACAAGGCTTCCAGGAGCCAGTCTTAATGTCCTGCTACCGACACATCCAGTCTTAATGTCCTGCTGCCTACGCATCCAGTCTTAATGTCCTGCTACCTACGCATCCAGTCTTAATGTCCTGCTACCTAGGCATCCAGTCTTAAACCACCATTACCTACCGGTTGGTCCGCCGTTAACGCGGTAGCCAAATAGGTCTACCCCACCTCCGCGCTTCCGAACCACCATTACCTACCGGTTGGTCCGGCCGTTAACGCGGTAGCCAAATCGATCTGCCCATCGGGCCAATATTCATTTGACCCGGGCGGGGTACGAAAAATGGCGGTTAGTACATGCGGTTTAAGTCAGTCCAATGCAGAAATGATGTTTGACTGAGTAAAGGGACATATCTCGGCGTGCAAGACCATTAAAGCGCCAGTACCTCCGAAAGTCTTAGCGGTATATACAAGCCGCGACAATGATGAATGAACGGGCGACTACAGGAGTGACCAAATTCATCCCACGGGTAGTTTAATCAAGACTGAAGAAGTAGGGATGGCAGAGCTTAGCCTAGGTCTGGAATAGAAAATTGGAGGAGGGAAGACGTGCGGAGGATAAATTGCTTAGGGGGGTAGTTAACAGCATAACTCCGTGGACATAATGTTTTTTCTTTTTTTTCTTTTTTTTTCCCTGACACCGGAAATCCTCGAGGATGGATCAATCGATCAATCGATAGGATGTGAATCTTCTGTGTCTCTTTCCAATTTCACTGGATGTCCCAAAGGACAATTAATTGATAGGGCGCCCGCCGGCCTTGAGATGTCATCGTAGAACTGACCGGCCCCAGGTAATTCAGAATGATTTATTTTGGTCATCTGATTTCATCTGGATTTGAACCTACATCTGTATTTCAACAGTTTGAGCAGTGCAACTTCCAATTATCGAAAAATGTGGGATATCAGCTACTACTGGGGGATGGATGCTAATATCACCCGTAGGAGATAAGACCTCCCTCACATATTAAAAAAAGGGAAAACGAGGCGCAAGGTACCCAACTGTAGATAAATGTAGAGTACCCAACCCAAAGACTTTGGGCATAAACAGCCCAATAGATTTTCAGGCAGGCCGCCTAATACTAGCACCCTACTATGAAGTGGTTGTCCTAACCCTTCCCTTCTGTTGAACTAAACGGACTAATCAAAAATTGGAAATGCAGAACACGATCCAATATAACATCAAAACCAATGGCATCGAAGTGTCGAAGACATCGTTAATCGGTAAAAAAAAAAAAAAAAAAGGTATAGATGCAGCAGCTTTAGGTTAGGGCGTCGTTCGACACTCCTCGGGGCATCCTCGGGCTCCGAGGATGAATCCTCGGAAAAGTTTAGGGTTTTTGTCGTCTTCGTTCCAGTCATCCTCGGAGCATCGGTTTTAGGACTCATCCTCGGAGCAACGTCAGAAAAACAAAAGGAAAAAAAAAAAAAAAAAAGTTGTGCTTCAGGCTTTCAGCCAATAGGGTGCCGCCACGATCAGAATTCTCGGTTGTAACATCTCTCTACGTGCATGCCTTCTCCTCACCGTGAAACACGCCTCGCGAGGTCCCTTGGAGCCGAGGACGATTTGGCTGGGAAATCCTCGGAGCCCAAGGATTTGTCCTCGGAATGTTTTCACATTTCTGTTCTGAAAATCGGCTCCGAGGACAGGTGGAACGACGACGGAATCCTCCGAATCGCGTCCCCCAGGAGTGTCGAACGACGCCCATCGTGGAGCTTTGTTTGGTGGTCAGTGTGGAACATTGCAGCTTTTCTGGACTGGATACATATGACAAGATATGGCATTGACATTGTACGACCTTCCTCTGACTGGAGTCAGATGCAGCAGCTTTAGTTGATCAGATTAAATCCTTTTTTTTATCTTTTTTTTTTTTGCAAAGAAGATGCTCCAATCTATTCGTGGGGAGCAGCACATGCTGGGAACCGGGCCCAGCGTCCCAAATATACAGAACAAGTTAAGAGACCAGGGCCATTACCCGGCTTCGGCTCAAGTACCACGTGGAACAACACTGCACTTTGCAGCACAGCAGGGGGATAAGCGAAGGAGGAGAGGAGAATAGGGCTGCTGCCTCTTCAGCCTTTGTCCAGGCCGCCAAATTATCGATTCTTCCGAGCCCAGCCCGTACACCTTGAGCTCCCACCTACTTCTCTGTCATGCCATTGAGGTTCAACCAGGTAAAGGAGGGGGGTTGGGGGAGAGGGGCGTGGGGGAGGGGGTCGGGAAAAGCAGACGGGGCACACATCCGCTGTTCATGCGCCTCTTGCCCTCCGACATCAGCATCATGATTGTGATTATGATGACGAGGACGAGGACGATGACGAGGACGATGACAGACAGCAAGCTCCTCCTCCTCCCTGTGCAGCCTCCAGTCTGACAAGAGAAGGATTGTAGACTGTGCTACAGCTTTCTCTGGTCGGACGAAGTTTTGCTCTGCAATTTTCCACGATGGAAGGTCACAGCTCACAGCTGCTGCTCGTGCCCCTCTGCCGCTTCGAGACCAGCATGATGATTATTATTGTTATGATGATGATGACGACGGAGAGGGAGTTCCTCCTCCCTGTGTGGCCTCAAGTCTGAGTATCTGCCTGTCGCTCTATCATACTGCAGATCTGCTTCTCCTATCCTTCCTGCAGCTTTGTTCCTCACCTTCCGTACGAGGATCTTCACCGGGTCGGCGAGCCCTTTCTGGTCATTTGCAGCGGAATCGTCGTAAGAGCGGTGGACGACTATGCCGTTATCGCATTTGTTTATGAAATGTGCACTCCCACTGATATCGTACAAGCTGGGAGCTTCGCCTCTCCAATCTTTCAGCTGCCGTGGATGAGCGATAAACCAGACGTGGCAGTCGGTCATCTGCGCAAAGCGTTTGACCTTGGTGAGCATCTTGCTAACATACTCCGTCTCCGTCTGGCTCTGCATTCGCTGGTGGTCCAACTCATTGTAAGGGTCAATCACGAGGCCTCTGATTCCCAGGCGAAGCACGGCTTGCCTGGCCACTGAAAGCACCCAATCTATGGAGGGGATCTGCTCATCTTCACACCTCATGGGGAAGAACGACTTGTTCAGCCAGGCCTTCCCGTGCTCGTACTCTTCGGCTGTCATCTTGGGCACAGAGCCTGCATACTCCGCATTCAAGAACGGCTTTCCAACGTGTTTTTCCAGCAGCTTGCGCGCATGATCCTCCACCCTGTTCTCCATCGAGCACAGTGCAAATGTCCATCCCTTCGTGCGGTTCAGGTTGCACATCAGAGCGTCGACCCACTCGCTCTTCCCAGAATTGGGGACGCCTGTGACGATCGTCAACTCCCCTGCGATGACACGATAGAACTTGTCGAGACTCTTCCAGCCGGTAGAGAGGCCGACCTTGTTCTGGTCCGTGAGATGATAGTACGCGTCGATGTCCCCAAAAAAATCGCTGAATCTGAACAGCCCTCTGATGGGATACGCCTCGGCCTTCTCGATACAACTTCGCAGAACACTGGCGCCAGCCTTCTGCAAGACCTCGTTGGCATCCTTGAGAACGGTCCCGTCCCGACCGAGGGGCCATTGCACACGCCAGCACCGGTCTCGGCCCAGGCGGCGCGCAAGCTCTTCAGCGAGAGCCTGACCAGGTGCATCTGCATCGGTGGCCAACACAATTCTCTCCACTCGTTCGAGATACTCTTTGCAGTTCCACAGGTACTCGTACTTTTTGTCGTCTTCAGGGGCAGGCAACGACCCTTCCGCCGACACCTTGGGCGGGGCCCCATCCGGCACACTGACACAGTTCGTGATTCCCGCTTCTTCCACGGAGAGCTTGTCGATCTCCCCCTCCACGATGACAATCTCCCGGCAACCCTCAATGTCATCCACGCCGTACAATATCCGTTCCGCCCCTTTGATCTGCCAAAACTTCTTCTCAGGGCCCCTATACTTCACGTTCACAATCTGTCCTCTGCGCCTGTAGGGAAATGCAAGAGCCAATACCTTTTTTCGGTCCTGGGGGCAGTAGGAGTTGGCCTGGGCAATGCCATTGCGCCTCATGGTCTCCGTACTGATTCCCCTCGCCGCCAGGAAGTCCGACAACCTCTTGCCAAGCTGGCAGAGGTCCAGTTTCTCCAAAGAGAGGGGGGGAGGCGGGGGAGGAAGAGGAGGAGGAGGAGGAGGAGGAGGAGGAGGAGGAGGTGGTCGCCCAGCTGGACCACCCGTTCCATTAGGTCCAATCAGAGCCCTCGGCGGTCCACGTCCTGCGGAGGGGAGGCTGCAAAGAGGAGGAGGAGAAGGCGGAGGAGGAGGAGATGAAGAGAGCACCCCTTCACTGCTCGCGGGCTGCAAGGGACTCCACCGCCCTGCAGCATTTTCCATGCTTCCCTCTTGACCTGCATAGTCTCTGAGACCCCCATCCCACCCACACTTGGCTCTGTGGCATTTCCAAACCGCCCCGCCATCTTGTGTGATTTTCACAGCCAGACTCTTCTCCTGGTCTGATCCCCCATTGCATAGCGGGCAGACCAACCGGTACTGCCCAGGCTCGTACGAAGGGAGGAAGATATTCTCTCCAGCTAGCAAATCGCTCAGTAATGGCGATGGTGGTGGCGGCGGCTGGGTGTACGTGGCTCCACTTCTTCCTGCAAGGGGATGAAACAGATGATCCCCACCCACATTCTCCGCGTTACGCGCGACAGAGAAACTTCGGAGAAGCGTTGTAAAGTGAACGACTCTTCTTCGCATCGGGTGTCTTCCAGAGAAGAACGATTGTGGTGCCGCCAAACTGTCATCGAACGGAGAAGGAAGGCGTTGTTTCTGCTTCAGACACATGGGAGACCAAGGCTGGCGTGCGTTTTCTCCCGCCATACGCAGGCAGCTCACCACTTCCGGCCTGGCTTCCTCACCGCTACCGAGTCGGCAACACACAGCCGAACCTGCGCAGCCATCAGGGCTGCTGATAGATGCCTGCGCACGGAAGCAAGGTATCGTACGGACCTGCATCGGGCCTGGAAGCCGTACACGTGCAGCGGCGGCAATCAGAGTCGGCAAAAGATTACGGGGAAGCACTTTGTCCGACATCGAGCAGAACATGCAAGACAGAACCATCATTTCCTTCCTTCAGCCATGAATGAATCTGGTCTGGCATTTACTGGCCTGGATCATTCATACAAAATCTCATCGAGACCACTCTTCTCTCATCGGCTTTTCGCTGTAATAACCTCGCATCCTGTTGGCTGATTGATTCCCGCCCCTGCCTCCCCGAACGGGTCGCAGCTTCAAACTCTGTCCGACGATGTCTCCACCTGACCCCTTCAGTGCGGACCTGCCACCAGACACACGCACATGTCCCATAGAATTCAATTGAGGACGATCAGATCAGTTCCAAGAGCACTTGCACAGTAAAGCACAACAGGAGGTCCCGGAAGCGGCGGGGGGATGACGACAAAGGAAGAGATCAAGCTGAGCATAAAGCTCGGTGTTATCACATCTGCTGCTTTGATGGGTGGATGAACGGGGCTTCCCCCCCCTGAGCGTGTTCGATCGCGGGCCGTATCTCACCCGAACACAACGGAACCAATGACGATGGGGAGAAAAACCTCGAGAGCCTCGAGAGGGAAATTACACTACGACGAGTAAGGCCAGTGCAGCCACGCCCACACAAATGGAAAAGAAAAGAGCATGTCAATGAGATATCCTCTCTCTCTCTCTCTCTCTCTCTCTCTCTCTCTCTCTCTCTCTCTCTCTCTCGCTCTCGCTCTCTCTCAAACACAAACACAGAGCCAACGGTAAAAATCAGCTTGGAAATGCCCTCAGAGAGAAAGGGTCTCAGTCATGTCAAGATTCAATAAAGGTATGCTGTTGTACAAACACATTTGACTTTCACCCCTGAGGTCTGCCAAATTGCTAATGAGAGAGAGAGAGAGAGAGCACTTCGCCATGCCGCGCAAATCCACCGAATTCGTTCTTTAGCAGATTGTTATCGGAACTCTCCACCTTTTCACGCACAACATCACACACAGACACAGAGGTGGAGAGAGAGAGAGAGAGAGAGAGAGAGAGAGAGAGAGAGAGAGAGAGAGAGCACTTGCCACCCCCCGCCAATCCACCAAATGCGTTTTTTAGCAGATTGTTATCGGAACTCTCCACCTT